TTTTGGAAGGCCAAACAAAGTAGTTTCGCTTTCACAACGAAACAGCGTCACACACCGCGGCCTTTAGTGAGCGTTGGCGGCCTAGAGTGAGCCGCGGCCTAGAGTATGCGGTGGCCGGCTTGAGTGAGCAGAGGGGGGCGGGCTTGAGAACGGTGCGGCCGGTGGGCTTGCGGCAACCACATGTGACGATCCCTAGCTGGACTCCGCTTCGTCCACGGTGAAAACCGATCCGGTGATCCACAGCGCGAATTTCCTCAGCGACCAGCACGGATCAGCTCCAGGCATGACGAAGCAGAATATCTCTTTGGATTTGAGACTTTAGTCTTTGCAACTTTACAGATCTTGTTTATCCACCAAGAGCTCGTAACACTCCAAAGAGAAAGGATACATTTAAATCGCATCATATGACCCCTTTAAAGCATTAAACATTTTTAATGCTTCTCTTGACCTTCAAATTCATTCCATTTTTAAAAGGCTATACATACTTTTACTCCAATTCATTTCCTTTTAATTTTTGTGATTGACAATCAGCTGCAAATATATTCTGCAAGCAGCTCAGTGATACTAATGACAAACATCTGAATCAAAATCTTAACTGCACATTTCACACACAGTTATTATTTACATAAAATCACAAACATGAATCTGATCTGCACATGCAAAACAATAGTCCTCCAGATTGTAAAAAATTACATTACCAGTCGTATATGTAGTGTTGATGTTTGTTACATCTATAAAAAGAGAGAGGGAGAAAGAGATTAAAATCAAATAAACATAGATAAAATTATGACTTGAAAATATATTATATTTACCTGCACAATATGCTAAATAGCAGAAAGCTGGTTTAACAAACTCATAGACATAATAATCTCCTGGACAGGCTTTGACTTTAATGGGATTGGACAGAAAAGCACAGCAGTCATTGTCATAGTGACCGCAGACATCTCGAGTGACCACTCCATCCTCAACTGCTGGATGTCCTTCTTTCAGCCACAGTGGAGCATGAGTGCCACAGCTATCCTGATCAACACATGTGTCTGGCATCTGAACGCTCTGACCCTGAATGAAGAGACGGTACCAGCCGTTCCAGCTGACCTCACAGTCACACATTATTTCAGAGGAATATTGATTGTTGGTGGCTCTTCGAGGATCATCCAGCACATTGTAGCTGTAGCAGGGGTCATCTGTTATGGAACATTAAAATGTACTTTATGTCATTGCTTGCTATTTGAAATTAGATAAGTTGTAGTATGAATTTCATGAAAATTATTTCCTTAAGCTTATTGAAGTTGTTGAAATCTAAACACTGAGCATCACTTTTCCTTTAGCAGTGACAATGGGGATATAAACAGCCCAACGTGCCCTACTGTTGTAGGGTAGTGAAAATGAAATAAAATGGTAGTGGAAAATGTAAAATAAATGTGGAATGTGTAGCTCAGGATGTCAACTGTGACAAAATGAGTGATAGGTCGGTTTACGGTGGCAGGATGCACACACCTACAGCATGTGGTTTTTAAGATGAAATTCTATGACGTACTAGTACATTCCATTAGTTGCATACACTATTGCGACATGCTCAAAACATACTTTTTAAAAACTTTTAGGGCAAATTTCAACACAGCACAAACTTTTCACAATCCATTTATTTTGAGTAACTTAAAACAGTTTGTTAAAGAACCCTGTCTAATTCCATTATCAGGATGGACTGGGATTACTAGAGACTTTCATGCCATGAAATCACAGAAAACATGTTTAAATTCTTAAATTACTGCACTTTTCAGTAAACTAAGTCGTGGGGTAATTTTGATTGCATTTGTAGTTTTTACTCTATATTTTACTAAGTAAAAGTAATATTTTGCTTTTCTCCACACTAATTCAAAACAATTAATACAACAATCCAAACAGACTTTTACGTTTAGCCAGCAATTTCAATGCATAACGAAGTACTGAATACTTTTCAGCTAATGCAGCTTATTCTCTGTGCTATTGAAATAACATGCTAATGAAGATCTTTTTGTTTTTCCTCAACAATTTTTGTCTAATGAAAAGCTACTGATCAAAATGGGAACCAGTGATACAACTTGTGAAGTGAAAGTTTTATTAAAAGCACTGTTATTAGCAAATGAATGGAAAGAATTACCTGTTGATTGTCCATCAATTATTTCACCTTTAAAGCAAAAGAATATAATAATGGTTTAATTTGAAAAGATAATAGTCATTTCACGTTTTTGGGCCACAAGAAAATGTATAAAAAGATGCATAAAACACTCACCATACAGTAGCAGTATTGAAACACACAATGAGAATATGAACCTCATTGTGAATAACGGCATCCTCCTACACCTGCGCACACACATATACACGTGAAATATGTATTTCTATAAGTATTGTAGTAAATTTAGTTGAATTTGTTGTCAACAGTTGGGAAAACAATTTAAAAGCAGTTGTTTACCGATGTTTATACAAAATGTTATGACATATATTACAAAATAATGTTACTTATAATTTAGATTTATCAAAAGCAGATGATTGAAACCGTGATAACAGCGCAATGGGATAAAATGAGGCAAAATAACTTTACCTGAGACAAAATGTTGATACACAGCAAACTCCAAAACACAGTAATGCTTAATCCAGTTACGGAATACAATGAAGAAAGAACTTCAGGTCTTACAATTTTGTCTATGACTGTATTGATAAATGTGGGTGGACCTTTTCTAAAACCTGGGTTGGGTTAAACAATACACCACCTCCAACAATAATTCAAACCAGTTTTTCTTTTTCTTTTTTTTTCATGTCACATGACGTCAGTATTTCTTTGTGCACCTGCCATTGAGAAAAACATTTTTTTAGCCTTGAATAGATGGACGTAGATAGAAGACAATCAGATTAACCTGTATTATGATGAGACACATTCCCAAAATCATTACAGTTTTTCAGACTATTTTAGTCTACTGGTCAATGTTCTCAAAACAGTTTATGGAGCCATCTGAACAATTCTTAATTTTCTTAAACATACTGTAAATGATTCATGATTTAATACAAATTATATACAACATTCAAATTAAAATTCTACACACAAACATCTCTGATTCAAGGTTCAACTGTTAACACTACAGCTAAGCCATACTTTCACAAAGCACAATTTACCAAATGTTCATTTAACAATTGTGATTTTTCTATGTATAATTTAGTTACTGGAAGAAGTGCAGCATGGAATGAACATAAGAGAAGAAATAGGAGGAAGAGGAGAGATGATAAAAGAAAGAGTGGAGGAAGTAGAAAGAGATGATGGGAGAAAAGCAGGAGATGATGTATGAAAAAGAGAGGAAGAAGAGAGAATAAGAGTGGAGGACTTTTAAAGATAAACATTAAATGTACATAAAGGACACAGGGGAACCTCAAATAAATCAGTCTAATTGTGATTGTGTTTTAAATCAGTGGTCAGAGAACCCAGCACCACCAGCTTTCCTGTGCTGTCTTTGGGCCATAAAATACAGAAAGATAAATTAAAGTAAGATTTATACAGAAAGCCTACTCATCCTCATCCATTGTAATAAACGAACCAGAACTGACACATCGAGAGTCTGTTTTCATTGTTTTTGAGATCATTTGGCTTAGTCTGAACAATTTGGGTAAAATCAGTGTTATGAATCCATAATGACGTAAATTGCATGGACCTGTCTTTTTAAACCACATTACGTAGTTTTCCACTATCATAGTGGTTTGTGAGATTGATGTGACCTACCCACATGGTGAATAACCTCATTTAAAGGCAGAATTCAGCCCTGACAAATCAGCACCTTTCCCGCTGTGATACTGACTTGTTTTATTATTTCTTTTATAGTTTCTAACTCATTTGTTAAAATTTATTTACTGTATATATTCAATCTTACTAAGTACTTTTCACTTCATATTGTTTTGCAATTGCTATAGCTGAAAACAAAAATATGAATCTTGGGTGGATCTGTGCCCTCTGGCCCTTTTATGGCCTCGCCCATGATATAGACAGCAGCAGCATAATGACGTGCATGTATGTGTATGTGTGTTATGAGCATTTTTTGTGTGTACCAAAATGCAGCGTCTTTTTATTTCCAAACTATTCTTATATATTGAATGGGAGAGGCAACCGTCATTCAAGGTGGATCAAAGCCGTATACAGCCTCACCTGTGTGAACAATCAGTACAATAACAATACATATGTTTTGGTGATCTAAGAAATAACTAAACCTCACCCTATCAACCAGTGCTGCAACATTCTTCAGATCCTTTAGAAATGAAGGTTCATTGCTACACACAATTGATGCAAATAAGTATCAATATCATCACAATAGAAAATAAAGACAAGTGCACAGATGGTATTAGAATATCAATATCACATTTATCTCAATGTTATAGGCCTATTACTCAAAGGGAAACAGATTATGAAGCCAGCTTTGTTACATCACTTGATCTTTTGCTTTGTCCTTTTATTTCATATTTGAACAAGCATGTTGTATTATATCCCTGTCTTTTATGTAAGATTAATTTATTGCATTATACATAATGTACATCAGAATTAAATTGTAATGATTTTATGCTTGTGGGTGAACACATTACATCATTACAATACTGACATTTTGAGACCTACAACCAGTTAGGTCACTTGCATATTCATTAATATACTGTATTCATATATAACATAATATAGATATTATATGTAGAGAAAATCATCAGCGCTGCCATGTGGTTGCGACGATCGTGCGCTGATGACGCAGCAGATCGAGATACATCCAGCTGCAGAACCGCAGAACCCTTACGTCACAGCAGTCTCAGGACAGCAGCGTCAAGCCGGAAGTGGGCGGAGCAAAAGTTATCTTACTAAGCATAGCACCAGGTAGTGTTTTGGATCACTTCAAAGTTTTAATCTACCTTGATGTCAAGTCAGCATTTTATTATAACGATTTAATCAGATGATAGGTAGATGAGGTAGATAGACAAAATGAAGCTTGAGGATTTGAACATTTAATTAATTTATTTATTTTTACAATTATTTTTCCATTATACACATAATCATACATAAGTAGCAAGACCTTCAATAATACTGTGCATTCAATAACACATATATTAAAAAGTCATGAGCTTTAGTCAGGATGTAGCAAGCATTATCAAGTTTTGATTGTTTTTTTGTTTTCTCAAGTGCCCCTATTTGAGACATAAAAAACATACCCTGCTGCAGATTTCAATCTCATAACACATAATACTAAAAAGTCATGAGCTTTAGTCAGGATGTAGCAAGCATTATCAAGTTTTGATTGTTTTTTTTTTGTTTTTTTGTTTTTCTCAAGTGCCCCTATTTGAGATATAAAAAACAAACCCTGCTGCAGATTTCAATCTCCTGCTCTTCCGGCACTTGCACGCAGTGAGGACATGTTTCCTGCGAAAAAATTATGGTAATTTGTAGTCTGCTGGACAGATAAAAACGTAAGCGAGAAAAAGATACCTTTCAACAGCAAAATTTTCCAAGAGAATGAGGCACCACCATTTTAGTATTAGAGCAGTGTTTCTCAACCCCCGTCCTGGGCGTCCCCCAACACTGGACATTTTGTATGTCTCCCTTATCTGACACACCCATTTCAGGACCTGGAGTTTCTTTTAATGAGCTAATGAGAATCAGGTGTGTTTGATTAGGGAGACACACAAAATGTGCAGTGCTGGGGGGCGCCCAGGACCAGGGTTGAGAAATACTGTATTAGAGGAAAATCAAACTGGTAAATAAGGAAAAGCAAATATTAATATATCATCAAATGTAATTAAGTCCCAATTAACTTTTAAACAACAACTTACAGATGTGAAATCAAAGGGCATTTCAAGGACCATGTATAGAGCATACTGAAAAATTAGCTGTCAGTCGATTACAATTTTTAATCTAATTAATTACATTATGTGTCGATTAATTCATCTAATTAATCGCAAACTACATTTGGATGTGAAAATACCCCCAAAAGAAAGAAATATTTTATTTGATTCAACATAAAATTTATTACACGTTTAGGCTACAACGGTCTAACATAAACTGTTCAACATAAAAGAAGATAATTTGAGAAACAGCTCAGTTTTTTTCATTCATGCAATGGAAGTCATTGATAACCAAGACCGCTTTGTTACCAACAGTCTTCAAAATACCTTCTTTTATGTTCCACAAAAGAAAGTTATTTAGGTTTGAGTAAATGATGACATAATTTAATTTTTTTAATTGTTGAAGCAATGCAATGGAAGTCATTGATAACCAAGACCGCTTTGTTACCAACAGTCTTCAAAATACCTTCTTTTATGTTCCACAAAAGAAAGTTATTTAGGTTTGAGTAAATGATGACATAATTTAATTTTTTTAATTGTTGAACTATTCCTTGTGTTTTTTTTATGAAATAATACTCTAAATAAGAAACTAAAACTGCCAGCAGGTGGCGGTAAATGTGCTTATGAGTCATTCATTCTTTTGATTCGTTCAAACAGCTGATTCATTCAGGAATTCAGTAAACGGCTCACTTTATGAATGGGCTTTTGAATCATTGGTTCACCCAATTCGTTCAAAACGCGGATTCATTCAAAAAACTAATCACAGCTGTGTGTGTCTGAGATGCACAACAATTCTGCTGTGGCTTTATAGGAAATTTTTGTTGGCAAAACAGACAATATTGTGTTATATTGTATATAACACAATAATACAATTACACAATGATATAGTATATAATATATAATACCCAGTAATATAACTGTATATATAATTGTGTTATATTGTAAAATATAACACAATATTAACTTCTTATTTACTGAACTGTTGTGTAAAATCAAATTTGGGACAAACAGCACTCGTGTGATTGCTCTCGCTGCTCGTGTGATATCGCTTATATAAATATGAGACAAAACAAACTCATACAGGAGCATTTTTGCCCCAATATCTTGAATTTTAGGGCATAACTGCATTTATGGAGTTGTTGAATTTAATTTTTTTAATTGTTGAACTATTCCTTGTGTTTTTTTTATGAAATAATACTCTAAATAAGAAACTAAAACTGCCAGCAGGTGGCGGTAAATGTGCTTATGAGTCATTCATTCTTTTGATTCGTTCAAACAGCTGATTCATTCAGGAATTCAGTAAACGGCTCACTTTATGAATGGGCTTTTGAATCATTGGTTCACCCAATTCGTTCAAAACGCGGATTCATTCAAAAAACTAATCACAGCTGTGTTGCTCTGAGATGCACAACAATTCTGCTGTGGCTTTATAGGAAATTTTTGTTGGCAAAACAGACAATATTGTGTTATATTGTATATAACACAATAATACAATTACACAATGATATAGTATATAATATATAATACCCAGAGCCAACTGTTGTGGAACATTCTAAAATAATAGAATATCATTCAGTTAGTTACTCCTGGAATAAGAATATGACAACACATAATTTGTATTAGTAGCTTTGTTATATGAAAGCCTTATAAATCTCACCTTCTTTTTGATCAGCTACCTCATCTATCTATATCATCTGATTAAATCGTTATTAAACAAATGCTGACTTGACATCAACGTAGATTAAAGGGGTCATATGATGCGATTTCAATTTTTCCTTTCTCTTTGGAGTGTTACAAGCTCTTGGTGCATAAAGAAGATCTGTAAAGTTGCAAAGACTAAAGTCTCAAATCCAAAGAGATATTCTTTATAAAAGTTAAGAGTCAGCCACGCCTACCTAAAACGGCTCGTTCTAACACACCCCACATACCTACGTCACTATCTGGGAAGAGTTGCATAACGCCGCCCAAATAGTGACGTAGGTATGTGGGGGCGTGTTAGAACGAGCCGTTTTAGGTAGGTGTGGCTTGCGGTTCTGCAGCTGGGGATTGTTGGAGCAGATCAGGCAGTCAGAGCCCAGTGTAGTGTGTGAGCATGTTGTTGCAACAAAAACATTTCTGAGCAGGTTTTTGTGACAGCGACAGCTTCTTCTTTGCCTTCCTATCAAGGTAGGTGTTTTAGAACACTTTTATTGCCGAAGTCTATGGAAGCAGATTAGACTCAATAATAATTTAGATAAAAAATAAATAAATAAAAAAGACACGATGCACATATGCGTATCCCAATTCACATGCATGAAACCCAATTCATGTGCACGAAAAAAATATATATATATTCACAAAAACCAATTCATGTGCACAAAATAAGAATATACATTCATAAAATACGTTTCACAAATGCAAAACACAATTCACATATGTACAACTGTGTGCAAAATTTTTGAATATTTAAAATTCACGAGTTCATCATGGACTGTGAATCGCTTTGGATATGTGTGTGTATTTTTGAGACTTTCCTGGCAGCGAACTCCTCCCACGCGGGACACTCGTACTCCTTAGCCAATCAGATTTGAGCCTGTCGATCGACCAATCATAACCCGCTATGGGCGTGCCTATCTGGATGTTACGTGATCAGCGCGAGACCACGGTTCAAGTCACGGCAGAGGTTTGTGCAGTTGATCGTTTCATTTCAGTTAACTAGCCTAGTAAAGGTGTATTGTTTTATCTTTGCATGCTTAAAACTTGGAAGTAAAGTCGGTCGTTTAGACACACTCGTTGACGTGACCAGTGTAAGCCAGCAGCTGCTATGAATGCAGATAGTGTTGCCAAAAATGCAGCTGTCTTGTGTTAGCCGCAATGTCCCGTATATTGGCCAAAATGAGAAAGAATTCTGCTCATTGCCCTGTTTTTGTTCAGCATCGCTGGGTGGACAATGTCCAGCCTAGCTCCCACTTAGTGCTGACCCTGCCCTTATCATCATAGCTTATATATAAAGATGAATAGACCTCACGAGAACTGTATGAAAAACGGTGTGTTTGTACTTACCATTTGTGCAACAGGATGCAGTGTTTAATTAATACACAATCATTGTTTTCCTTGCATTTTTCAGGATTTAAACACTTTGGCACAACATCTGGATGAGACCCCTTCCTTCACGTTAATCTTTCTCTCTTTTATGTACTTTACCTTTATGTATTCATTGCTTAATGTAATCAACATTCATTTACTTATTTTTTTTCATATTATATTACTGTGATTAACCATTGTTAATGTTTAATCCTGTGTCGTGTTGAGTTGTGATGTAAAAATCTTTGAGATTACAATACACAAGATGATGTTGGGAAGCAGCTATTGTATTTGCTTGGTAACAGTTGTGGACTTTATGCTGGTCAGACAAAGACAGACTGATCATAAGACAACTTTACAGGGTTTTTTAAGTAAGATGTAGTAATATTTCAGTGCAGTGTCAAAGGACTGATCAGAAATGAATTTATGCAAATTACTGTCTCACACTGAATGTACTCTGACCTACCCAGCTCTTCAATTTCAGTTTCTCCCAATTTTCTCCCATTACCTTCTATCATTTCAAATGCATTTTTGTGTCCTTATTATATATTCCTTATAATAAATTAAATAAATGCATATCTATATTGCCGTTACCCTCTCCTTACAGACAGTGCTCACAGTGCTTGTGTTATGCTGTTCACAGTACATTGAATGACTTGACTCTCTATCATGATTCAAATGTGACAAACATTTTAGTCTGATACAGTACTTCACAACTTTGTTTATCATGCTTTGCCTGTTTGTATTTTGTTTAGTTCTGCCATACTTTTAAAACAATTAGAAGGTAATTTGGAACCGGCTGTTTGTCAATTTTGTCATTATTGTCATACATTTTTTTAACTTTATATTTATACGTTTTATAATATTAATTTAATCTGAGTACAGTAAACTGTTGTCCAGTTTCAATGTTTCTAAAATTTCGTCTAGGGTGCCAACAAAGTCTGACCCTGATCGCAGTATCACATATTTCTAAAAGTCTGCTACCCAATTTTTATAAAATGATGTTGAATTGAAAAGCAACTGCAGAACAGAACATTGTCTTTGGTAATGTAAAACAACCTCTGAAGTAAAATAAGATTAATGTAGTATATAACAATTTATGTAAATGATTAAATATCTTATTATGGAACATAACATTACATTTATGAAAAGGAAAAATTTAGAAACCCTCGAATATTCATTAAAATGGGATTAGAAATTATGCATATAAAAGATTACATTATGTTTGAAGAAAAACATTAAAATAGGGCAAGGAAACTGAACAGAGGAACAAGTAACAGCATCAGAGAAGCACACAAACAAGTAGCCTCAGATACCTTCACTTGCTCTGGGACCCACTTGTCTGTGAACAGGGAATATAATGCACAGTGAATTGTAATGTTTTGATAGCAGAAATCAACAGAAACCTTAATTTTCAAATGATTAAATAAAATATTCACCTGTGTTCCCTTCAGACAAAATCAGAGGACCCATGGATATGGAAGCACTGTCATGGAAATCCAGAGACCTGTGCTCTCTCCAGTGATGTCCAGAATTACAGTCCTAAAAGAGAAAAGAGAAAATCCAGCATTGTGAATCCCTGTTAAATATCACTGGACAAACATGAAACATAAAGGAGTGCACAAAATTCTCCAGCAGAGGACGAACCTTACCACCATGGACATTAAGGGTAACATTTTTCTTCCAATAATTAATGTTTGATCAACTGGGGTTTATCAATAGTAAAATCTTAAACCTTTACAATTTAACCATTACATTTAACTATGGAGATACATTTCCATAGATTAGTTCTATAGCTACACAGAAACATATCCTCACATTTTTATTAATTATGAGAGGCTTTCTAAACTCGCCATTGAGCAGCGATTGCTCGACAGAAGGCACAGGTGAACAGCACAGTGCAGGTAAAGCTTAGTGGAGTTTGCAGTGAAGATGAACATCCTGAAGGAGAAACGGCTGGATGTCGAGACGCCGTTCTGCAGCAGCTCCACTGTGTCGTCATTTGGATTGGGACACCTGAGAATTACCAAATTAATTTATTTTACTTAAGAGACATTCAACTCAAAAGTGATTTCCTGAAAATCATCGCACATTAGCATTCTATATACAATAAATGGAATTATTTGCATTAGTACTGCAATATTGGAAGATAATATGTCAGGTCATCTTAAAAGGGATATGGATTATTATTTATTCAGTCTATGTGCAGATCAAAAGTTACTATTAAAAATGTTACAGTGAGTTAAGACTGAGCTTTAAGGAACAGAAAAAACAACATCGCTTTACTCTCTAATGATGAGATCCCAGCGGAGACTGTAATCAGGATCGTTCACAGGTGTAGCCCAACACGTGTCCATCACCAGGGCAAACTGGCGGCTGTCAACCCCCTCAACACGAACTTCCACATTCATCTTCTGGTCGAGCTCTGCATCCACTTTACCAGTGAAGGGCCGGGTAAACTCATTATCCTCATATGGAATCATCCGAACCTGATATCTCCCTTCACCAGTGGGGAGCGTCTTGTGCACAACACTGTTGAAATAATGGACAGATCTGTGTTAAAACTACTAAGCTTTACAGCTAAAATTCTACTCCTTTAATAAAACAGTACAGCTGGAATCAGAGTTTGTATGTGACTCACGTCTCCACTGTTTCCACATTCATGGAAAGTGTTTGTGTTTGAGGATAAACACAGCTGAAAGAAAGCTTAAGGATTTTCTCTCTGCTGATGAGACCTTCTGACCTCGGTGTCCCCAGAATAAAGTTATCATAGATAAAGTGGGTGCCGTTGGCCTGTGAACAACATGCATAACATTTTGACATGTAGACTAAATTGAATTCAAGGTGTTAAAAAAAAACATTTATTAAAGTAAAATTATTAAATATAAAACCCCCAAGAAATTTGTATCAGTCAATCCAATCCTTTGGGTCTATGAGACACTACAAATGTTTGGATTATATATAATTTGTCTAATTTGTCTTACCACAAGATTTGTGCCACAGATGTGTTCATCGTTATCAAAATGGAATTCCACTCTGCCATTCCGGACCGTTCCTTTGCAGCTGGGATCATTGAGGTGTAAGAAGTCAGCTGGAAAACCAGCCTCAAAGAGCTGACAGCGAGACACAGACAAGGAGCCAGAGCTGCTTTCACAGGTTTCTGAGAAATCTGAGAGAATTAAAAACATCCAAAAGATTGTCAGAAGTATTAAAAAACAAAATGTAATAGACCAAATAGAAAAAATATATAATATTTCACATTCTGTTGTGGAATGTTACCAACCAAAAGAGTCAGCTTGTGGTCTGGGTAGGTCGTCGTTACACATACAGCCATAAACACCATTTTTCTTCCCACACCATTCATCCTCAGAGCAGCTGAGCTCAGAGCAGTGATCTCTCACGTCTAAGAGAAGCACAGATAGATGAAATACAACACAAAGACATTGAGTCATAATAACAGAGTGAGAGCACAACATTCTGAGCCCCCTGAATGATCATTGCTGTACATTCTTCAAAGAAATGAAATATATATTTTTGAGTGAATTAAAGTGAATTTCATATAGTCCATAATTTTCCCACCGAGATCCACAAATAATAGCTTTTTTTTTTTGACAGTAGAAGTAGAATTAGAATTAATTAGCATTAGAATTAAATTGCTGGGGGATTTCATTAATTTACCTTTAAAATTTCTGTATAAACACCCTCTATATGTAAGATCCACAAATAATAGCTTTTTTTTTTTGACAGTAGAATTAGAATTAATTAGCATTAGAATTAAATTGCTGGGGGATTTCATTAATTTACCTTTAAAATTTCTGTATAAACACCCTCTATATGTCTAAGTCTATGTTAGCTGTGAAATTGCTCTTAAGAACTAGCGATGACTGATTTGTGACAGGTTAGGTTAGCAAAATGTTCAAAATCATAGCTCTTTCATGCACTGAATCATTTGAAAGCACTTTGTCATAAGAGTTGATAGTTCAGCTACCTACTACTTTTTTTTTTTTTTTTTGCAAACTGGTGGACAAGACCAC